GAGCAGGAGCAGTGCAGACAGAAGCAGCAGTAGGGGCCTGGCTTCCTGGGGACCTCCTGGACTAGTCTGGAGAAGAAAGGAAGCCCCATCTATCACATTCACTCAAGAGCCTACATGAAGCCACTTGGAAGCAGAATGGACCAGCATGGGATCCAGAACCCTACTAATTCTACATCTTACTGTAACCTTTGTTCAACAGCCTAGCTGCTGTCAACACATCCCATTACCAGGGCCTCCTGTTTCCACACCCACTGCCTGCCCATGACCAAACAAATCGCTTTTCCTATTAGTCCAGACTAGATATTTTTCTTTTTCTTTTTCATTTTTTTTGGGGGGAGTGAGTTCTGCTTTTGTTGCCCAGGCTGGAGTACAGTGGTGTGATCTTGGCTCACTGCAACCTCTGCCTCCCAGGTTCAAGTGATTCTCCTGCCTCAGCCTCCTGAGTAGCTGGGATTACAGGCATGCAACACTATGCCACGCAAATTTTGTATTTTTAGTACAGACGGTGTTTCTCCATGCTGGTCAGGCTGGTCTCGAACTCCAGACCTCAGGTGATCCTCCCGCCTCAGCCTCCCAAAGTGCTGGGATTACAGGCATGAACCACTGTGCCTGGCATTGCTGATATTTTTCAACTGAAACACACACACACACACACACACACACACACACAGAGAGACACACACTGTGGCCCAGTATTCCTTTAAACCTCACCCCTGCCTGCCTCCCCAAGCATTTGGGTTTACCATCTCCCAGCCTCTAGATCATGCTGGGTGTTATCTTGTTGACAGCCAGCTCCCTCACAAAGAGCCACCTCATCAACCAATGACTGCCTACACATGCCTGATGGAGCCTAGCTGAGCCAAGCCAAAATAGCTGACCAACTTAATCATGAACTAGTAAGTTTGGAGTGGTTTGCTTTGCAGTGATAGCTAATTAACACATACACCCATTACAGAGACAGTGCCAGGATTCAAGGAAAGTGTGGTAATTCTGAAAGGCCACAGAAAAAAACCTGCCACGTTCACCTCATTCTCCCCAGTGTCTGACTGCATCTCCTGTCATTCAAGGACAGTTTGATGGCAAGTTACCTGACAAACAGGCGCTGTAGAGGTACTAATTTTCTTTATCCCTTAAAGTTATATCTTTTGTTAGATGTTGTTGAGTTATCCAGAAATATATGTAGACATGTATGCATGTAATTGGTGCTTAAATGGAGAAAGTTCTTCACAGGAGGAAATACAACCACAGCCTGATGATTAGGGTCAAAACTAAGTTACAGAATAAGAATTTTGCCTTTAATATATTTTCTCCCCATATAAATTGTGGAGGGCAAAGCTGTGAACAGATCTAAAGACATGCTGTTTTTCTCTCACTGGAGCTCCATTATTCTATGTTCACTGTCTGCTTTCTAGAAAGTGAATGGGTCCCCACCAAGTAGCAAGTGGACACCTGTGGGCACTTTCTGCTTTCAGCATTCTGCTCTATCTTGGGGCACAACCTTTCCCACCCTTGGGCCTTAAAGGAGAGAGGGGGTGTTTAGTCACATCTGATAAAAAAGGGGGTTCAGGTCCTTTACCTTACCAAGGTCAGGGTATTTAGACCCCCTCCCCCCAGGGTGATTGAGTACCTGGGACACAGTTATTCTGAACCAAAGTACTGGAAGCTTAACATATAGGGTGAATTTTGAAGACAGAGTACCAAAATTACTTCACTAATAATTTTATATTGATTACATATTAAAATAATACTTTGGTTATACTGGGATAAATTATTCCTATCAATTTTATCTGTTTCTCTTTTGTTAGTTTTATGCAGCTCCTAGAAAACTTTATTTTATTTTCATTTTTATTTTTATTTTTTGAGATGGAGTCTTGCTCTGTCACCCAGGCTGGAGTGCAGTGGTGTGAACTCAGCCCACTGCAACCTCTACCTCCCAGGTTCACACAATTCTCCTGCCTCAGTCTCCCGAGTAGCTGGGATTGCAGGTGTGCACCACCACACCCTGCTAATTTTGATATTTTTAGTAGAGATGGGGTTTCACCATGTTGGCCTGGCTGGTCTTGAACTCCTGACTTCGTGATCTACTCATCTTGGCCTCTCAAAGTGCTGGAATTACAGGCATGAAGCACCGTGTTGTTAGAAATAAAGTGCTTGTTCCTTGGTGCCACAAGGAAAAATTATTATTCGGACAAAAAGTTTTATCAACAAGGCAATTTTACTTTCTGCAAAAAGGGCACTGCTTGTCAGCAGTCTTACCATGAGAGCACACTGAACAAAGAAAGGCAGGAATATTTATTCCTTACACATTGGGGTCTTACTGCTGTGTCCTATCTCCATTGGTTGGAGCTGGACCTTACAGTCTAAGATAAACTCAATCGGTTAACAACTTAAAATTTTCCTAAATAGGTAAAAGGCAATGGAGAAAGGAAAAGAGAAAGTAACTTGCAAAAGGGACTTAGAAAAGTAATAACATTTCCAAATAAGGAAGGGGCATAGGCTGAGGGTTACGTCCAGCACAGTATCTTGGTTAAAGTACAAGGACAAAGAATGCACTTATTTCCTGATATCTAACAGCTACATAGGATAGGGCTTAACAAGGAGTTACTAGCAAAAAGCAAGAAGGCTTTGAAGTAAGTTAGTCTTTAAAGGAAACTACTGTTTATAAGATTTACTATTTATTCTTTAATAAGAAGGGAATCTTTGAAGAGGAACTCTTTACTTTCTACATGTGCCCAGCCTAGAAAATTTTAAATGACACGCATGACTCACGTTTTATTTATAGTGAATATTGCTGCCTTAGAAGATTGCTTCCTTTTTATTTTTATTTTTAATTTTTTAATTTTTGTTTTAAAACACTTAGTCTTTTATTCAGTACACTCTCAAAAAAAAAAAAAAAAAAAATCTGTGTATCTAGTCCCAAGCTGGGTGATCCTGGGGCCCCAAAGGTAGTAATGACTCTACTAGGAGAAGACATAGACCTCCCAGTTTGGTGGATTCTGGGTGTCAGAGGTGAGGCTGGAAGCAGCAGGATTTTTGAAAGATCAGAAATGGCTGCACGAAGAAGAGGGCATTGAAGCCAGGGCTTTGAAGGATGAACAGGAGCTTGTCAAACAGAGAAGGTAGGACATGCACACCAAGTGGAGGGACTGTGGCCAGAATTCAGGGACATGTGGATGGAGGAGCAGGAGAAAGACAGATTGGAAGAGCAGGAAGCATCAGTGTGAGCCTTATCCAGATACAAGATTAGCTGCCTGTCATTGAAGGCCAAGAAATACAGTAGTTCCACTTGGCCCTGTCAAGCCCTGTCAGGCCTGGAGCCTCCTCAAAGCATCTCTGACTCCTTCAACGACTGCCATCTCTCCTCTTTGGGTCGCAGGGACCATGCTGTTTGGTGCACAATGACACTCTGTTGGGGGTGCTTTCCACGGTGTGGCTGTGGGACTGCAGGCCAGGGCCTGAGTCTTCCAGTTGGAAGAATGGGCTGCTGGAAGCCATTTTTTCTGTTTATGTTCATCTTAGGCCAGGGAGGCCTTCAACAAATGATATGAAGGAAGAAAAGAGAAAAAAAATGGAAATAGGGAGGGAGAGGGAAAGAAGCGGGGAAAGGGAGGGAGGAAGGAAGAAGAGATGGAGTAGGAAGAGAGGAGGGAGTATGAAAAAGGCTGTGCACCTCTGCACTTAGGCCATCACCAAGGGATAGGTCCAATATTATTATTTCAGAGCAAGCCAGCCCTGTCAAGGCTTAAGAAATGGGTGATGGTTTGCACACAATTTGCATGTGATTTGCCTGCTGTTTGTTAAATGTCAAATCACCCTGAAAATGTTTTCTCTCACCTCTACCTAGAGTTGAGAAGTCAGAAACCCTGCCCTTTCCTCTACCAGCTCCCCACATGGGCTGGGACCCATCAGTTCAGAGGCTGCTGTGGCACTCGCTCAGAGGGCGGTCGCCTTTGGCAGGCCAAAAGCTATTTGTGAAATGAGCTATCTGTAATCCCAGCCTCTGAGCAGCCAAACTGTCAATTTTGAGTGAGACAGTGCTCCCCAAAGATGTGCACAGGTGCTGGCATGGAGAAGGGACCAAGGAATGGAATTCGGGTGATTATAAAATGCCCCATTTTCTTGCTGAACCCTGGCAAGGGCAGGTCCCCAAATATTCACAGGGGAATGTGGTGGAGGGGACCCAGACTCAAGACATAAGCGTGTGACCCTGCTGTTGGCAGAGGCCCAAGCTACGCATTTGCAGGGATCTGGGCTGCCTATCCCTGCTCTGTGTCTCTGACAACCTTCTTGGGCCTCAGTTTACCTACTGAGGAATAGGGGCTAGAAGACTGCTCTAGGAGGAGTCCCTTGGTCACACAGTGGGGCCTTTGGGGACAGGGTCCTGGGCTAGGCACCTATAGGGAGGGGTGGAGAGGGGTACAGAAAGACTCCTTTTCAGGCACACCCTGGGGTAGGAGAGACTCGAGTCACTCTGCATAGCAGCTCCAGCAGGTCTGCCTGTGGGAGTGAAGTGGGGGATCCCTCTCTGTCTTCCCCTCCATCTCTCCCTCCCCTCAGCCAAGTGGGATTTGGAAGCTAGACACCTGCAGTTCAGCGGGTGCTCTGAGGGGAGGCCAGAGGGAGCCTGGAGGACCTGGTGCTGACTACGAGACAAGCAAGTGCGTTATCTGGGAGTGGCTGACCCCGCGGTGGCAATTTACTGTTTACCTGTCCGTGCTCTGGGCCCTTGGCCAACAGATTCTTAATTAAAACATTATTTCTTCCCAGGCTCCAGTGCCTGTGCATCTGTGCATCTAGGGTGCTTGGGGCGTGAACGTGTCCCTTGAAGACTTGCATAACCCCCGCCCCCCTCCCAAAAGACCCCCTGGGGGTTGCGCAACAGACCCGCAACAGGCCCGAGGTGACGTGGCTGCAGGTCAGAAGTGCGACAGAGGCCCTGCATACTGCCCTTTAAGTCTCTACACGAAATTTCTACAACACACCCCCCTGCAATGCCCACGATGACCTCCCACGCCTCAGCCCAGTTCCCCACTCTCAGATCTGCAGCAGCTTGGCCAGAGCCCTTCAGACCCCCTCCCTCGATGCCTCAAGACCCCACGCAGGTGGCGAGGCATCTGGATTTAAGTGGAAGCAGGAAGCCGCGCAGGGGGTGAGTCCCTTCTGAGAACGTATTTGGAGGTGAAGATGGGGCGCAGCTGGAGAGCTGAGAAGGCGCTGGGATGACCACATTGCCACCCTTAGTCATTTGAGAGTTTGGGCAGTAGTGGCTGCACCGCCCGCCAGGGCTGTTCACTGCACAAAGGGCTTGTGGGGGCCTCAAAGAGGGCTAGGTGCTCTCAGGCTGGGAAGGAGGAAATTCGAGAAGACTTCCTGAAAGAGGCTGCAATTCCAAGTGGATCGGAGCTGCAGAGAAGAGACTGAAAAGTGCACCGCGGAGGGGGCATGGGTTGGACAAAGCTGTGGCTGGGAGAATATCCTGGGCAAAGAAAAGGTGCCCAAGAGCTTCTCTCCCGTCCCCTCTGTATGTGATGCCTTCTGGTTGCCCATGGGAGCCTTCCAAGATGCTGTAGTGCTTCCCAATGAAGACTGGTCACCGGTGCCCCAAGAGGGGAACGGCAGCCTCAAAGTCACACAGTAGAGCTGGAAGGCTCAATGCTCCCTCCTGAAAGGCTGGGCAGAAGCATCAATGTCCTAGGTCAGTGTCAGGGGCTGGGGCTCCAGCAGGAATGTCCGAGGCAGTGTGCATCAGCCAGTCAGGCCAGTGTTCCACGTCCACCTGGGACGCCAGACCCTGGAGTGACGTGCAGGCTCCCGGGAGGAGGGCGACGTGCCTTCTCAAAGTGTCCCCTACCCCCACCTATTCGTTCAGCCAGTACCCGGGTCCCCTCCGTCATGGCTCTACCTCCTCCAGCCCAGACTACCTGGGGTCGCTGAGAAGCAGCACCAGCCTTCCTGCAAGCGTGGGCGCACGGTCGGGTGGTCATCCAGCCGCACGTGGTAGCAGAAGGCGCGCTCCCGGTAGTGCCAAGTTAAACACAAATGTCCCTCAGGCAGGCCGGGTCCCAGGACCGGAAGGAATCTCCCTCTGAAAACGGAGCGGCCGAAAACCTGCCACTCTCACCTCATTCGACACAGGGTCTGGTTACATCTCCTGTCACTCAGGGCCTAAGGGGGTGGGGCCTGGAGCTCTAGCCAATCATTGGTCCAGTATAAAAACTGTCCAATCAGGAGCGCAGCCAGAGAGGAAGAGGCGGCCTCTACAAGCTGGACCGGTCTTTGTCTCCTAGCGACCAGGCTCTGGGTTCAGTTCCGGTCTCCATTGTTTCGTCTCCTCTGCTCCAAGATCTCCTGGGTGACTCTACCACGGCCCCGTTATCCTGTGACCTGCGAGTACTGGGAGATCCCTAGGGAGGACTCCAAAACATCCAGAGGCTGGAAAATGGTGAGTGCGAAGGCTTGGTGTCCGGAGAAGGAAGAAGAGGCTGTTTGAATCTGGCGGGAACCGGCTGCGGTGGGATCCGGTCTTCCTGGTCAGCTCGAGTTTGTAGACCCGGGATTGCTCCGGCACGGCTCGGCCCTCCGTTCCCTCGGTCGCAGTTTAGGAACTCCGCCAGCAGCCAGATCCCGAGCATCTTACCCCAACCATGAGCGTGAAGTGCTCCCCAGCCTAGAGCCCTTTGTGGGCATCTCTGTGGGCAACCTTGAGTCTCCTTCATATTGTGTGGGCATGATTGGAGGGAATAAGGGGAAGGAATCCCCACTTGGGGTCCGGAGTTTTTTCTTGAAAAAAGTAGTGGGCCCTGGGCGCCTCCAGTTCCTTCTTCCTCCTCTTAAAAATTAAATTGATGATATTTTTTTGAGATGGTGTCTCACTCTGCCACCCACGTGGGAGTGCAGTGGCACTTTCACGGTTTACTACAGCCCCCAACTCCCGGGCCGAGGTGATCGTTTCACCCCAGGCCCCAAGTAGGTGGGACTACAGGCGTGCGCCACCACTCCCAGCTAAGTTTTGTATTTCTTGAAGAGACAGAATTTGCTATGTTGCCCGGGCTGGTCTCGAACTCTTGAGCTCAAGTGATCCAGCCGCTTCTGGCATCCTAAAGTGCTGGGATTACAGGCTTGAGCCACTGCCCTGGCCTAAATTGAGGTATCTTTAAAATGTTAAGCCGTGATATAGTTTGGATGTGTTTCTCAGCCAAAATCTCAGATTCACATGTGATCCACATGGAGGTGGGACGTGGTGGGAGGTGATTGGATTATTGGGGCGGATTTATCATGAATAGTTTAGCACCACCCGTCTTGATACTGCCTCTCCAATAGTAAGTTTTTGGGAGATCTTGTCATTTAAAAGTGTATACCATACTCATCTCCCTTATTCTCCTTGCCACCTCCTACTTTGCCTTCCACCTTGATTTTAAGCTTCCTGTGGCCTCCCAGGAAGCAGATGCTGGTGTTTGCTTTCTGTACAGCCTGTGGAACCATGAGCCAATTAAACCACTTTTCTTACAGATTACCTAGTTCTGAGATATTTCTTTATATCATTGCAGGAATTAATACAAACCGTTTATTTGCCCAAACAGCAGTTTATGAATCAGAGAGCATCCAGTTACGGTTTGTTTGTGGACTCAAAGGTGGGACTGGAAGAAAAGGCCTTTGTAAGAAGCATGAGAAAGCAAAGCATATTAAATAATTGATTGGGTACAGTTAGATATTGCATTTGCATGCATCAGGTGGAAATGTCCTGGCTTTGTAGTCAGAGCTTTATTGGCAGTTTGTGGTTGGTTAAACTAACTTTTGTTTTTCTCTAAGTAATTCACAAGAAATGTCTCTGACATAGTTAGGTTTCCTCATGTAGAATCCCAGGGCATCATGACCATTTCAGTCAAATTGCCAGCTCTTTAATGCTCCACAGTGGGGGTGATTTTCCTTGCATTTTTCAAATGTTATGGCAAGCAGGGTTTCCAAATCCATACTTGTTCTCCCAGTCTAACTGTTCCAGGGCCTGTAGAAAATTCTAAATTTCCAATTTCTTTCCCAAATTCTCAGTTGCCACCTATCTCTCTCCAAATTACAGCATTATCAACTATTAGTTCTCTATTTAGTAATAAGACAGACAACGGTATTTTAATTGTTCATTTTCATTTCACAGAGTGGTGGTTGGCTCTTATTTTTCCGTTTGTGAACATTTCACACGAAGAAAAGCAAAGAATAATTGCCTGATACTCTACTGTAACAAATCTTTGCACCCTCTTAACCTTGCCGTGGCACACACACCTTAACAGAATGTCTTTGGGTTGAGGTTGCTTTTTTGGAACCTTTGCAGGGTGACATGTCCTCAGCCACTCTTTAACTGGTTCTGGGTTTTACGACTGTCTGGGGATGACCCAAGATGCTCATGGTGGCCCTGTCTCTTGGAGTATCTAGTCGGTATCAGCCCTTAGGTCTTCCCCTCCCAGAAGAAAGCCTGAGGTATTGGGTGGAGCCACTTAAGGGAGCAGCTAGATGCCCTGGAGCTGAATGCAGTTTCCTGATACTCACTTCCTCTAAAAAGCTAACTGCTTGAATATTAAGATTTTTTGGCCGGGTGCGGTGGCTCACACCAGTAATCCCAGCACTTTGGGAGGCCAAGGCGGGTGGATCACGAGGTCAAGAGATCGAGACCATCCTGGTCAACATGGTGAAACCCCATCTCTACTAAAGATACAAAAAATTAGCTGGGCATGGTGGCGCATGCCTGTAATCCCAGCTACTCAGGAGGTGGAGGTTGCGGTGAGCCGAAATCGCGCCATTGCACTTCAGCCTGGGTAACAAGAGCGAACCTCCGTCTCAAAAAAAAAGATTTTTTTCCCCCTCAGCCCCAACTTCCATTTCTGTCAGACACGGTTCTGGTACTGAGGAGAAGAGGCACACATGCATCTTATCCTCTGGTTTCTCTCAGGCTTGTGAAGGGAGAATAACTCTCCCAAAGTGCAAGGAAAACTCACCCTAATGAGGTAGTATGTGAACCTGCAAAGCAAAATACTCATCAGGCACAGGGAGTAAGGACAGTGGCTTCTGAGAGGGTGGTGATTAATTACCTTAGCAGGCTGAGGGTGGGAGAATCTCTCAAATGATTGACACACAAGTCCAATATGCCTGTGTTCTGGTCAGTACCACCTCTCCTTGTGTTTGTCACCCTGAATATATTTGTTCACTTACTTCAGATTTTATTAACTGTGTAATGTAGTTTATCATTAAAGCTTGAAAGACAAAAGACACAAATGTTTTTTAAGAGGAGGAAAAGGGATAGATTTCAGAGAAAATATCTCGTTTTATATTCCATTGGTTAAAAATTTTCAGCCGGTCACAGGTTGCTCACACCTGTAACCCCAGCACTTTGGAAGGCCGAGAAGGGCAGATCACCTGAGGTTAGGAATTCAAGACCAGCCTGGCCAACATGGCCAAAACCCGTCTCTACTAAAACTACAAAAAAATTAGCCAGATGTGGTGGCATGCACCTGAAATTCCAGCGACTTCAGAGGCTGAGGCAAGAGAATTGCTTGAACCCTGGAGGAGGAGGTTGCCATGAGTCTAGATAGCGCCACTGCACTCCAGCCTGGGTGACTGAATGGGACTCTATTTAAAAAAAAATATATATCATTTTTATTTTGCAGAAAGAATGTAGACAGATTCTGAGGTCTGTTCTATTTTAGCGTGATTTCAAACAGAATCCCAGGGCTTAGCTTTGGAAATCCTACCTGAGAAAAAAATAGAAAAAAATGTTTCTCATTATGGCTGAGGGAAAATAAATACATTTCTGAAAAAAAAAAAAAAATTAACACATGAATTACAAACATTTATGAAAACATCAGTTTCTCTCTTGTGCATGGGTAGAGAATTTTTGACAGTGGGACCTCAGTTCTGTTGTCTGGGTTTCAGTTTAATGCTAGATTTGGAATGAAACTTGACAACTACTAGAAGTTTCACATATTAATTGTTTACTATATGATTTGTTACAAAAATAATAATTAAATGACATGTTTATTGCCTGGAAAAAGATAGGTACTTTTTTTTGTTGAGGTGTAAAATATAAGGGCATTACAATTTCCTGCCCTTCTGTAACAAATACTGAGTTTGAGTACTTCTGTTGGATTTACTTATCACTAGGTATTTTTTTTTTTTTTGAGACGGAGTCTCTGTCACCAGACTGGAGTGCAGTGTTGCAATCTAAGCTCACTGCAATCTCCGCCTCCTGGGTTTGAGCGATTCTCCTGCCTCAGCCTCCCAAGTAGCTGGGACTACAGGCAGGTGCCAACACGCCCAGCTACTTTTTGTATTTTTAGTAGAGACGGGGTTTCAACATGTTGACCAGGATGGTCTCAATCTCTTGACCTCATGATCCACCCACCTCTGCTTCCCAAGGTGTTGGGATTACAGGTGTGAGCCACCATTGCAAGTGGTGTTTTCTTCATGAAAACCAAGTGAATATTCTTGACTTGAAAGTGGAGACATGAGGTTAGAGAATCCAAGCAAACGTCCTTCCTAATTCTGCAAAAGGTGGTCATTGAAAGCCAAGTTCATTTTTCCCAGGAAGTCTTCACTGCAAGTATCCCAATCTGTTTATGTCAACCATGGAATGAGCTTTTTATGCAGAGTCCTGGAAAAATTGGGATCCACAGGGAAACTGGTGAGATTTAGGATGGAGGTAATGAGTGTGATGCCTTTTCTCAGGGTGTAATTGTCATTGTCCTGGGCTATTTCTAGATAATGTCAAATAAAGTAACTTTAAGTTAAGGTTAGAAGTAACTATTCTAAGGAAGTATTGCAGTAGGAAAAAGAACCAAATATGAGACCTGCCAGCATCTCAAAGTTTGGGTAGAAAAGCGTGTTTTTTTGTTTTTTTGTTTTTTGTTTTTCCTAGAGAGAAGCAAACAAGATTAAAAACAAGGTGGGCCGGGCGCGGTGGCTCAAGCCTGTAATCCCAGCACTTTGGGAGGCCGAGGCGGGTGGATCACAAGGTCAAGAGATCGAGACCAACCTGGTCAACATGGTGAAACCCCGTCTCTACTAAAAATACAAAAAAAAATTAGCTGGACATGGTGGCGCGTGCCTGTAATCCCAGCTACTCAGGAGGCTGAGGCAGGAGAATTCCCTGAACCCAGGAGGCAGAGGTTGCAGTGAGCCGAGATCGCGCCATTGCACTCCAGCCTGGGTAACAAGAGCGAAACTCCGTCTCAAAAAAAAAAAAACAAAAAAACAAGGTGGGAGGGAGAGGCCAGGATGGAGGGTGGCAATATCAGCTTTGAAATCAGAATATATTATCCTGAAGTCAGCCTGTTCTTAGGAGGAGCAGGAGGGGTTGTATTTTGATTCAGGCTAAGGTGAGTCAAGAGTCCAGGAGCCTGGGGTAAGGAGAGAAACTTAAGCAAAGTTTGATTAATAAGTGTTTTGTTCTGACCAATG